TTCTGATTTCTCACAAAGAAACCGCACCCACGTATACCGAGAAAAGTCATCTACCAACACGAAGATATATCTTCTGCCTCCAATACTCTCAGTTTGAACAGGACCCATCAAATCCATGTGAATGAGCTCTAGAACTCTGTTTGATCTGATTTCTGCGACAGCTTTATGTTGCACTTTGATTTGTTTCCCTTTACTGCAGGCCTCACATACGGTGCTACCTGGAGTTTCAAGATCAGGGATACCTCTTACAGCTTCAGCCTTTACCAATCGACTCAGCCCGTGAACATTCATATGTCCCATTCTCTTGTGCCACAGTTCAATCTGAGATTCCTTTGCTGTCAAGCATTTATCTGAGTGACTCCACAGATAGCAGTTATTTCCAGACCTTATTCCCATCAGCACAATGTTACCATTCATGTCTACTGCCTGGCAGTCCACCTGAGTAAAAATGACTTTAAGTCCTTCATCACATAACTGACTCACACTGATCAGATTCGCCTTGAGTCCTTGAACATAGAAGACATTCATGAGTTGAGGTTGATCATCTCTTTCTAGATTTCCAACACCCAGAATCTTTCCTTGTCCACCATCACCGAATGTGACCTTACCACCTTTCACAGCATTCAATGAGTCAAACCAGCTTTGGTTCCCTGTCATGTATCTTGAACATCCACTATCAAAATACCAAGCGTCTCCTACTTGTCCCTTGGATGAGGTATATGCAACATTGGCTACCGTTTCTGGCTCCTCAAAGTGAATCCGGGCTAAGTTGCACACAACTTCCTCTATTTCCTCTTCAGATTGTGTTGTGTGATACAGATCTTTCTTTGCAATCCAAACTTTACCAAAGTGTTTAGGTTCAACGAAACATAGAGCCCTTTTCCATGCACTTCTGATTTTGTTTCGGAATCTGTAGCACCTAACTTTCTTGTGGCCTGGCCTGTTACAGAAGAAGCAACAGGGTTTTGAGGGTCTTTTGGTTCGTTGCAAACCCTTACTTTTAGCATCAACAACAGCAGTCTGAGTTTGAGGGTGCTGGTTCAGAACTGTCGATGGATTACCATTGACACGATGCGGGACTTTCAGTGGTATATCAGCTGGTGGTTTGGCAAACTCACTCCTTGATGTGCTTCCATACACAAAGTTTGACATATTCCCCAATGTAGTGGAACTTGTGCCAAAATCTCCAGTATATCCAAGACCCCAGTTCTTCTTAGGAGGCAGTCCCATTGAAAGAATTTGATCCAGATTCTCAGCACCTGTATTAAGCATCCTGATCTTCTTGTGGTTTTCGGTCAGTTGAGCTTGAAGAGTTATGCACTTGTCCTTCTCCAGTTTGCACACTTCTCTCAAGTTCTCGAGTTTACCTTCAAGTTCGATATTCCTCTTCCTCTCAACTTCAAGAGCATCAGAATTAAGTTTCTCATCTTTGAGATCCTCCAGTTTTTCAAGGACTTCTTCGACTGGATCTTTTTCCATCTCCAAGATGTTAATTTGAGCCTTCATTAAGGCTTTATCTTTAACCAACTGGAGATTTTCTTGACTCAGTTTAACCCAGTTTTCATAGAGTTTCCTGTATTCAGCTTTTGCATCAAAGTCACCATCCTCATCTTCACTGTCAGATCCAGCAACTTCCTCAGGTTCCTTTTCAGCCTGTTCTTCTCCCTCAGCCACAAAGGCGACAAAATTCAGCATCAAGTCTTCTTCCTCATCATCTTCATCACTTCCAGACTCTGATTCACCCAAGGCAACTAAGGATTTATCTCGAGACCTCAGAACGGTTGGACACTCGTTTCGCGTGTGCCCAAACCCCTTGCACTCTATGCATTTCAGCTCCTTCTGCTTAGCCAGTGGACACTCATTCCTGAAGTGTCCATATCCCTCATATTCATGACATTGCAGATCCTTCTTCTTTCCAGAACGAGCTCCATCGGTGCGAGTACTTCGAGAGGTATTCCTATCAAAGTCATTTCGTTGGCCTCTAGTGTTCTTATTTTGACCCTTCTCAACCCTTCTCAGCATTTTGTTGAAGTTCCTGGCTAGAAGACTCAGATTCTCCTCAACTTGATTGACTCTTTTATTTTCAGTTGCAGCCGCAAATGCAATGTCTTTTTGCTTGGCTGTTTCATCCGCATTTGCTTCTAGTTCTTCAGCCTTAAGCATACCCACCAAGGTATCAAACTTCATGTCATCAGTGTCCATTGAGTACTTAACAACAGCTTTGTGAGCAGCGAACTTTGGTGGAAGACACCTCAACAATTTTGTAACCAGTTTCGTGTCTTTGTATTTCTTTCCAAGAACAGCAGCTTCATTGGCAAGAGTACTCAGTTTCGTAGTAAAGCTCCCAACAGTTTCGTTTTTCTCCATTCTGAGATTTTCAAACTGTGACGCAAGATGATCAATCCGAGTTCTTCTCACACTCGTATCTCCTTCAAAATGATTCACCAGAGTGTCCCACGCCTCTTTAGTTGATTCACATCCCTGAATGATACTGAATTCATCCAGATCGACCGCATCGAAGATTGCCGAGATAGCCTTAGAGTTGAACTTCGACAAGTTTTTGTCGACCTCAGTCCAGGTATTCTTCGGCTTGGCTATCTGAATCTTCTTTCCATCCTTGTCTTCTGATACCACTGTAGGGTATGACCATCCTGTTTCAACTGCAGTCCAAGCGTCCTCATCTATACTTCAGATGACATGTCTTATACGTGCTTTCCAGTGTCCGAAGTTTCCAACATCCAGACGGAGTGGTTTGTGAACTGCAATAAACTTCGTAGTCTCCATTTCTTCCTCAGGATCTTCACATGTATATAGATATAGGTATCTAGAAGGTGATCCCGCTCTGATACCAAATGTAAAACCAGTGAAACAGAGACGTATGTAACACACACTTGGGAATGCAAAAGCCTTTTGCTCTTTTATTAGAAATCACTTAGACAATCTCTTTAAGACTTGTCTAATCAGAATTACACGACCTTGCACACTGCAATTCGACACTGACCAATTCCTAATCTACCCAAGTCCCACACAACAACAGTTGTGTCACACTAGCCTAGTTCGCTCACCAAGAACTCTAATCTTTCTCTCTTAGTTTCTTGTAAGCTCTCAATACAATCTGTGAACGGCCAACCTCTCTCTAGGTTTCCTTCACATATATATATATCCCCTTCCTCTCCTGAGTTGGCGAATATACTCTTTCCTTTTGTTGAGATCTTCAACGATCCTCCGTATCTTCTTTCTTGTGATTTGGTTTGCTCCTCACGTAATCTTTTTTTCTTCAACTCCACTCAGTTGCTGCCACATGGTTATTAGTGTTCTTCCTCTTTGCCGCGTCTTCCTGTTGTGTTACACATCTCGTCTTGATGTGTCACACAACCTCCAGAATCCTGATCTTACAACTAAGAGGAGCTTATATAATGCTCTTACACGTTCTAAAATGCTAAAGACAAAGAAACAAATCAAAACTAATCAAAAACAAGTCGTTAGGCTCTAAATGAGTGAATCTCGGCCAAATATGAAAATGCGATGATCTGGATCTGGATTGCATAGAAAGTGGTTTCATGTATTAAATCCTTCTGGTCTGGTTTGGAGGGATTCAATAAGTGGTCGTATGTCTCCATCGGATTCTTTGAAGATCTGTCTGTTTGTTCTTCGATATATTCTTCATGTGGAAAGCTTTTGGGATGATTCTTCTTCGTGGTATGCTCTAGATGCAATGAGTAAATATCCCAAATGTTTGTTGAGCTGGAACGTTCGGTTTTGGTCTTCATTTGAGCTGAACAGAGCTTGCATGTCTCTTTGGCTCGTCTTGGCTCCATGTTTTCCTCTCTTTGTTTGTTTATTCCGTGCTTCTTGTCTGATGATGACTTGATGTCCTCATCAATGTTGGTAACACAAAGGGCTGATTTCGTTCAACTGTGTTTTCGTTTTCATATGTTAGCATTAGTTTACCTTTTAAACTAGGTGCCTCATAATTATTTAGAGGTCCATTTGTATCTTTACACTTTACTGTTAAAGATATAGAATCTAAGTTTTCATATTGTTTTTGGTTGATGTTAGAACGCCGGACTTTATCAGACCAACAGCCACAGTAATTCCGCCAATGTCCTGGGGAAAACACGAAAGCGGTATATATTAACCCTTCCAATAACTGGTTTTTTATTATTATGGATCACTAACTCTAAAACTTATTTATTTAGATAGGTTTGCTATTATCCGTATCACCATCCTTTTCATTGGGTTTTGACCCAAGAAGAACCGTATTCGGAGTCCGAGCCTGACTACCTAAACAAAAAAGAAACAGAATATGAGGAAGAACTCCCTCAAAAAAGCAAAAAATTGAAGACCTCATCCATTATTTACAAGGATCACCATTGCAGTTTAAACTGGTCAAATATAGTCAAGACGGCATTTGCAATGCCATTATTTACAAGGATCACCATTGCAGTTTAAAGCGAATTAAATATAAATTAAATATAAATCTAAATTTAAATTAATTTCTAATTTATTAAATATATGAAAGTATTATTTAAATTTATATATTTAAATTAAATTTAAATTAATTTCTAGTTTCTTATTAATTTTTAAAATATTATAATAACTGATAATTTTTAAAGAAATCTAATCTATATTTTAGGAAATTCAAATAACCAAAAATAACGGTATATATATTTAAGGAAGTCGACAAAAAAATGAATATTTAAGAAATTTTAAAATATTTCATATTTAAATTTAAATATAAAATAAAATGTATTTTTAGTTATATTACAACAAAATAAAAAAAATGTTTCTAAACAGAACTTTCGAAAAAAATTTGAAGTGTTTGAATGATGTAAAATACAAAAAATGTGAATAGTATTTTTGTCGGGCTATAAACTGCATTTCACCCCAAGAGTTTGGTTGTTTTGCATAGTGACCCCCCTTAATTGTCAAAAGTTTTCATTTCGTCTCATATCAAACGAAAGCGTCAATATAATCTCTTCGATTCCACCTAATGTGGAATGGCTTTTCTTCGCGTGCGTCTAATAAACCCTACATTTGAAAGATCAACGGTCGCTTCAAAGAGACAAAATCCAAAGACCATTCTGAGTTTCCATTGCAAAGCTTCGGGCTTCGAGAGCAAACCGATGTCGCATTCTTCTGTTCCTCGCCAGAATCTCATGAGAAAGTGTCGGCCGAAAAAGGAAGAAGAACCCCTTGGAGGAGATATGGAGGATCTCTTTAGCGAAAAGGAAACCCAGAAAATCAGAATGTCTTTACTCGACTGGTACGATGATAATCACCGAGATCTTCCATGGAGGAAGACAAGGAGTGAAAGTGAAAAGGAGAGAAGAGCTTATGAGGTTTGGGTATCGGAGATTATGCTGCAGCAAACTAGGGTTCAAACTGTAATGGAGTATTACAAACGCTGGATGAATAGATGGCCAACCATTAACGACCTTGCTCAAGCTTCCCTTGAGGTGATTCTTTCTAATTTCGTTTTCGGAAAATCAATTAGATGAAGAAAGAGCTTTCCCTTCTTGTCTTATTTGGTTGCTTCCTTGTCACTGTTCTCCTCGCTAGTGGGCTCCTTTATTAATGAGTGTCTCTGTTTTCCAATTAGATTATGACAGAAGTCGGGAACTAACTCTACAAATGAGCCATTTGAATCCATATGTGTTTGTTAGAGAATTCTGTGTGATGTGCTAATCGGAAGAAAGGCTTAATCTTTTTGGTTTTGCTCTGCATTTTCTTATCATTAGTAGATGAAGAAAGAGCTTTCTTGTCTTGGGTTATGTGGTTGTCTTTTTTCTTGGCAAATGGGCTCCTTTGTGTTTTCAGTCTTGCTATGTGGGAAATCGGGGTTAAACTCTACAAATCTACCATTTGAATCCTTATGTGTTTCTTGGAGAATTCTTTGTGATGTGCTAACCGGAAGTGGTTTTGCTCTGCATTTTCTTTTCATAAGTAGATGAAGAAAGAATTTTTTTTTTTCTTGGGTTGTGTGGTTGTTATTGTTTTGGCAAATGGGCTCCTTTGTAAAGATTGTCTGTGTTTTCCGTCTTGCTAAGTGGCAAACTGGGATAGACTCGAACGTATGCGCCAATTAAAGCCTTATTTTGATTAACAGAGAAGTAAAGGGTTAATCTTTTTGGTTTTGGTATGGATTTTCCTATCTTTAGAAGGGAAGAGAGTACTCTATCTATCTCTATTTTTCAAATGCCACACCATTTGGATTTGTTTTCTTTCAGGGCCATAAGAATTCTTTTGATTATCACTACTAAACGAATTGAGTTCTTCGCGCTGCAGGAGGTAAACGAAATGTGGGCAGGTTTGGGCTACTATCGGCGAGCACGTTTTCTTTTAGAGGTGAATATACACTTCTGCTATCCGGTGTTCGACACTAGTTGATACTTTCATTAAGAAACGTAGTAATTCTCTCTTTCTTGTCTTGATTCTCGCAGGGTGCGAAGATGGTTGTTGCAGGGAAGGAGGGTTTTCCTAATCAAGCTTCTACCTTGATGAAAGTTAAAGGAATAGGAGAGTATACAGCCGGAGCAATTGCCTCAATTGCTTTCAATGAGGTGAGTCAGTTATATCTTTTAATCATATACTTAATACATTTATGTAATCTTTACTTCTTTTGACACTTATTCTGTTCTAGGCGGTACCTGTTGTCGATGGAAACGTGATAAGAGTGCTTGCCAGACTAAAGGCCATCTCAGCTAATCCAAAAGACCGGATTACCATCAAGAATTTCTGGTGAACAATACTTTTGCATTTGCTCTTGAGACAATAACAAGAGAGTGGGTAAACTTATAATCTATTTTCTTTTATATAGGAAACTAGCTGCACAGCTTGTGGATCCTTCGCGTCCCGGAGATTTCAACCAGTCTCTAATGGAGCTTGGTGCGACTCTATGCACCGTATCAAAGCCAAGTTGTTCCTCTTGTCCTGTTTCCAGTCAATGCCGTGCATATTCGCTTTTCCAGGAAAACAGAACCATTCCCGTTACAGATTATCCTACAAAAGTGCTCAAGTCCAAGCCAAGGCGCGACTTTTGTTGCGTATGTGTATTGGAAATACTGAATCAGGAGAGGAACCAGTCAGAAGGGAGATTTGTTCTTGTAAAGAGACCAGAAGAGGGTCTGCTTGCTGGTCTTTGGGAGTTCCCATCTATTATATTGGATGAGGAAGCTGATTTGGCCGCAAGGAGGAATGCAATCAACCTCTACCTTAAGGAAGCATTCCATGTAAAACCGAAGGAAACTTGCGCTATAGTTTCAAGAAAAGAACTTGGAGAATTCGTCCACATCTTCACACACATACGTCGAAAAATTTATGTGGAGCTATTAGTCGTACAACTTACAGGTTTGAACCCTATCTATCTCTTTCTTTCTCGATCTATCTTTCCCGTAGACATGGACGTATTTATAGACAATAAGTACTCTTCTCTGTGTCATACAAGGTGGAAAAGATCTGTTCAAAAATCAAGCGAATGATACTCTGACGTGGAAGTGTGTGAACAGTGATGTACTTTCTACAATGGGACTGACATCGGCTGTGAGGAAGGTACTCCTTTTCTTTTTCAGATGATATATAAGGTTGATGCTTGGATGTGAAACTATAGGTGATTGTTTCGTAGGAACAAGTTCTGAAATAGACAATAAGTTCGTAGGTTTTGATTTGAGTAGGGCAGTGAGTTTCGTCATCTGTTCTTAAGGTGATTTATGATTGTTTAATTTGTGAACTCCATGGTTAAAAGTAAGTAACTGTTGATGGAGTGCAGGTATATTCAATGGTTGAAGCACACAAGCAAGGCTTATCTGTTGCTCCGGTCTCGTCAAATAGAACAGCCACTTCGAGGAAACGAAGAATCCCATGATAACCTTCTTGTCACCCATATCTACATGTTGTGCAGCTGCTGTATTTGTTGCCTATAGTTTAGATATCAAAGTCTTGTTAAGTTTTGACCAGAACACTAGTGATCTTGTTGTGAAATTGAACAATTAGTTTCTACTGAGTGACTGGACTCCCTCGAGGGATTGATTTGGTAAACAATATTTTTATGCCCCGTCTATAATAGCAACTTCTGAAAGTAAAAATACCGGTACTACAATTAGTTATTATGTTGTGTTTATATACTACCCAATGGCACCTTGTCTGTTTATTTCTACGCCATTACGCTCTACAAGTAAGAAAGACATATTTAGTCTTGTTTACATTGTTACTGTTTGATGCGGTGAGAGTGTTCAGGTTTTACCCTGATAAAATCAAGAGTTTTTTGGCAAATAGAGAGATACTCTCGCGTACTCTGAAGATCCACACCTAATCTGTCATATCGGGTTGAATCCGAAGAAATCGGGTTTAGGGTCAAAAATTGGAGACAAAATTGTGGTAAGTCTGAGAAAAAAAAATTCAAATTTTGAAATCGTCCTTTCGTCGTCGTCTTCGCCTAGTATTCTCTGGGACAATTACGAGTGATTTGCTGCTGCCTGACTTAAATCAACGCCTCGCTATATCCGGTTCGTTCGTCTTCGTCCTCTGATTTCTAATTTCTATATAGATTACTTTGTAGATTTCAAGTCGGTTTTGTATAGAATCCAAAATTCGATTTATATGTTCTCTATTCGGTTGGCAATTACAAAATAGGAGTCATGGATTTAGGCAAGGAAAGAGTGTTTAGATATGCTAGACCAGAACTTTACTCAGATTCCGAATCGTCACAGGAGAAAATGGTTGAAGGAGTTGCCGAATCAGAGACGGGTAATAATCAGATAGTGTTGTGGAGGGGAACTGGGGCTGAGGCTGAGGAGGAAGAGAATCAGCCATTGCCACCCGTGAGAATGTTCTTCGAGCCCAGTCAGTATCATAATGCAATAAAGCTGGGAACAAGATGTTATATCCACAAAGATGTTGCTAAATTGGAGTCCCTAGACCTTGAACCACATGAGCTGTTATGGTTTACAGAACACCCACAGTTCAAGCACTTTTGGCATATGCATAAGACCATGCATGAGGACACAACACACAAGATGATGGGAATGTGGTTGCTTCTTCTTCGGACAGCAAACACAAATAAGAAGAGGGAAGCTTGGTTTGTAGTGAATGGCGTACCAATTCGCTATTCTCTTAGAGAGCATGCCATTTTGTGTGGATTAAACTGTCTCCCGTACCCAGAGGAATGAGAGCATAGACAGTTCTTCGTTTAAGAATAGATATTTCCAGGAAACCATCCCCTCCCTTGCTGCTGTTGAGAAAAAGCTAGAGTCGATGCGAGGACTAGTTAATCCTGATTGGTTGAAGATGTGTGTCGTCTACTTCTTATCCTCTATAATTAGTGGGAAAACGAAAACCGGTAAGGGAGCACCATCTGTTGACCCCTTATTCCTGAGGATTGTGGATGATCTTGAGGCTTGTAAAAGGTTTCCTTGGGGTAGATATTCATTCGATGTAAATATGAAGGAGATAGAAGCACACAATAAGGCATTTCAATGGGGTCGTCGGAACAGATGCATGGTCATTTCCAAGCTTTGTTACTCCCTTGGAGATATGTCACATTATAAAGAATTTGTAACTATGTAATACTATGAGCGTAAGTGTAATTTGTTGGGTTTATGTGTAGTTGCTAGCCTTTGAGGCCATCTCATGTCTGGAGAACAAATACAGAGAAGATGTTAGAGGAGCAGGGAGGGGTTGTCCCCGGATGTGCAGGAAGAAGTTCCAACCATTCACACGAAAAGGTTTCCCTTTGTCGGAACTCTATGAAACCCTGGGTAACACTAGGGTAATCGAGAGTATATTGCAACCATCCGAGGATGAGGTAATTATGCTTTTGGGAGTCATGGAGAGGAATGAAGAGGAAGATATCGGTGATATCGTTCCTGAAAATTGGACGAGGTGTTTAGTTGAGGAAAAGAAGCCGATTATCTGGAAAGAGATATGCTAGATCGATGTTGATGCCCGAGATAATAAGGAGTGGGTAAACCATCTTGTAGCGGCTAAGCATAATGTGGGGACGGAGAAGGAGGCGCCTCTTGGAATTGTGGAACAGCTTCAGAGCTTGCAGAAGAGTATGGACGCTCAGTTTCTCCGAATCAGTGTCCGAATGGATGACTTTGATACAAGACTCTGCTCTGTAGAACAATATGTGAAAGAGACAAGAAGAGAAAGGGAAGGACCAGGAGATGAGGGAGGAGAAGTTTTTCGAAATGACGTAGACCATGAACATGATCAAAATGGAGAGAAACTTGAAAGTCTGGTGAAGAAGAAACAGTCGAAGAAAAAACAGCCGAAGCAGAAGCCGAAGAAGAAGCAGAAGGAGCCGGAGCAGAAGGAAGAGGAGCAGAAGGAAGCGGAGCAGAAGGAAACGGAGCAGAAGGAGGCGGAGCAGAAGGAGGCGGAGCAGAAAGAGCCGGAGCAGAAAGAGCCAGAGCAGAAAGAGCCAGAGCAGAAAGAGCCGGATATGAATGAGGCGGAGCTGAAAGAGGTGGAGCAGCTTGTAGCCCGATCTCCTTACCTGCTTAGAAGTAAAGAGGTATTGAAGTTTGAAGAGTAATATCCATTGTTTTTTGGTAATACTTTATATTTCGTGGTAACACTATGTTGTATTACTTGGTATGTGTAGGTAGAACCAGACGGTGCTGACGGTGTGAACGCAGAAGTGGGTGCAGGTAAACGGAAACAAGAGCAATCGAAGCTAGGGCCAAACACAAAGCAGAGACGTTAAGTCTCCTATGACATTTGAAATATGTACTTTTATTTCTATTATTGATTTTGGATTATTGAAAACCAAATATTGGGAAAACTTGGTATTATTGGTGAAACCACATATAAATTGTATAACCTAGTATTATAAGGTGTAGCCATTTTAGTAGTTTTTGGTGTAACCTAGTATTATTAGGTGTAATCATCTTAGTATTATTTGGTGTAACCACTTATATATGTGGAATACTAGGCCTAAACATTTCGAGTTAAAATTAGTAGAATAATGTTTGTACACAACATAAGGGAGTACTAAACATAGCGAAATGTACACATACGGAATCCAGAACAAAAGAAAGTACAAAAAACAAAAAACATAAGACAGAAAATATCAGACACATTCACCAGTCTCCCATATCAGGAAAAACCCTAACTACCCGGTACACATATAGGAAGAACCTTCCGCATTCGCGAGTTAAAAATCAGTAGTCGCAAATGTTCCCTGGTTTATACTCATCATTCCACCACCGCTCCCATCGGTTAACTGTACCGCACGGACAGTGGATAAGAGTATTGAGGCGCGGTAAAAAGCGACGGTGGCCTTCATTGAATATCTCTGGCAAATCCATTGGCCAACCAAGATATACTTCTGCAACGAGGTCGCGGGTGCACTTCCTTATTGTTTCCCGGCTTAGTTTGTTGAGGTACTCATCACCCTCCGGATGTTCCATAACAAGTTTCATGAACATCCCGTAGACATATACTGCACGCGTGTACCCTCTATCCGCCGCTTCCTTGATCAGTAGAATCCCTCCAAAATCTTTTTGATGAAAAAAGAGTTGCATACCTCGCATGAAAATCATGCTTGGATTTCGTGCATCATAGAACTCTCTGAAGACATCGATGATGAGATGGACATCTTGATCCTCTGGATGCCCCATATTAAAGGGATCAACTTCAGCGTAGAAGCCAGGGCCTCTGGTGCAGTCGTTGAACCTATGACAAATCGAGTGAATCCGTATAAGGTCACCAATTGTGTTAGCCGACTTCGCTAGAACCTTTTCCAGTAGTTTGTCTGGTAGGGCTAGTAGGTAGGAGTACTCTTCCATGGATTTATATATGAAAGTGGTGGAGGCCGAGTTTTGTGGAGAAAAGTTCTGAAACCCTAAGAGAAGATGATGGATTGTAATATAAAAGGAAAATCTGAGAGGACCCCTAACGGAGAGGAAGAAGGAAAAAGTGATGGATTTGGGAAAGTAATGAAGAAGTAGAATGGATTTCGGAAATTTTTTGTAAACTTAAATAGAGAAAAAAAATGGAGGAAGTGAAAGGATGTGAGTAGTCTCTGAGTAGTCACGTCGAATAAACGCGACCGTATGAGAGAGAGAGAGGAATATCGGAATAACTGCTACTCTCGTAAATGCGTTATTGAAAATATACATTGGGACTCTTATATTTTAGAGAGAGTTATTAATTTATAATGAAATTAATTGAACCAAAACATAAATAATTTCTCCGAAGATAAATTATCAAATTACCATATATATCAAGGTTCTGAGGAAAAACAATAGAAGATTACATATATGAATTGTTAAAAAAATAAATAAATAGGCTTCATTTGAATTTCGATGCCATTCCAGACCTCTTCCTCTTTATCTTCTTCATCTCTCCCTTTGAACAGAAACGTAGAAAATCTCATTTATGTTTAAAAATCATATAGCCTAAATTTGTATTCAGTATTATTACTTAATAATGAGTTATGTCTACAATTAAAATTAAAAAAACCAAACAACATCAACTGATTATTTTCCAGTCATATAGATTTGAACTTATTTTATATTTGTCATGACCAAAACAAATGACTAATTACTTACCCATTCGGATGTGTCCATGTTTCGGATTTCTCTCTCCACGAATCCGCAATGCATGCACTTCAATCCTATCTCCAGATCCAGAATCAATTCGTGTTTCGGTTTTGTACAACTTTTGTGGGGAGGTTTATGGACTGAGATGTCTTTGTCCTTCTCCTCAACAAAAAAAATAGATATAAATTTTCACTCATGATCAGGAAATATTTATAAACCATTAAACAGAGAGAATATATTACCTTTGGCAGATTTTGCTTGAATTGTTCCCACAGCTCTGCTTGCTCGATCTCAGAATCAGTTGGCGAAGGTGGCGACTTAGGTTCCACCACACCAAATCTCATGTTCAAAGGTGGTGGGTTGATGATCAGCAGACCATTCTCATCATATTTTTTTCCATCTGATTTCTCCATTTTGTTTATGTATTGTTAGAAACGATGAGACGACTTGAAAAATTCTAGAACTACAATATCTCAAGTGTTTTTTTATAGAGTGTGTAATATTATTCAGTTTTTTCGAATTTCTAGTTTTGTGGGGAAGACTACTAATATGTTTAGTGTATAGACAATGTTCCCTGGATGATATTTGTCTACTCAGCATTTACTCACGTGAGAGGATTTATTTATTGTACAGACGCGTTGCATGGACGGAAAACGAGGAAAGAGGGAACGACACACGTTTATTGATCTAGTTGTACCAGTCTTACAGCTGTTAATGCTTTCATTAACTGCCGTAAGACTGGCACAACTACCAACACTTTATTTGAATTTTACATTAAGTAAATAAATATTTTCGGGTTTATTAGGGGAGAGAAAAGAGATGTAACTTTTAACTGCTCCGCACTATAAGGCTAAACGGTTATGAAGGGTATTTATTATATGAGTCGCACCCTAGGGTTTTGCCTTTCTCTTTCCATAAATATAACTCGCTCTCTTTCTTCCTCATATCTATCTTCTAAATCCTCTTCTCTCTATTTAGTGCTATCGTTTCTCTCTTTATCACTTCAAAATGGCCCCTAAGGCGTGGATCGTGACTCATCTGAGGGAGTTGGTGCGGTTTCCGGCTAGTGGGTTCAGTGCAGGTCCCGTGGCGGAAGACATTTACTAATGGCAAGTAACGCTGTTGGGCCCCCCTAGTAGTCCATACGAAGGGGGCATCTTCTTCATCTCCATCCGTTTCCCACTGGATTACCCCTTCAAGCCACCAATGGTGTCGTGGAAGACGCCGATTCTGCACCCCAACATCGACAAACCCAGCGTCTTCCATCCGCTCGTCACCGCTACGTGAAAGGTTGGAACGACGGTCAAGGAACTCCTCCAAGCGCTCCATGACATGCTGCTTCACCCTAAGGTCGAGGAAGAGGACAACTACCTCGCAGACGTCGCACGCATGTGCGTCTTGGAACCAGAGCGGTTCAAGAAGGAGGCCCGCTTAATGACCGAGCAACACGCCATGAATTAATTCCCATTAATTCATGGTGTTTTTCACAATAAAATAATGAATTTTATGTTTAAATATATTCCGTTGTAAAATATTTATTATTTCAAAATTATGACTGTAATATATTTATTAACAAAAAAATATTAGTAAAATTCCTTGTGTTATTCTATCCACTATATTATCTCAGTCGATACATAAGGAATCCTAATAAAGAAACCCTAATACTCGGTATCATTTGGTATAACCACAATTGGGATAATTGAAAATTTGTAATACTCGGTATCACTTGGTGTAACCACATGTTTTTGGGATAATTGAAAATTTGTAATACTCGGTATCACTTGGTGTAACCACATGTTTTTGGGATAATTGAAAATTTGTAATACTCGGTATCACTTGGTGTAACCACATGTTTTTGGGATAATTGAAAATTTGTAATACTCGGTATCACTTGATGTAACCACATGTTTTTGAGATAATTGAGAATTTGTAATACTCGGTATTACTTGGTGTAACCACGTGTTATCGGATAATCGAAAATACGTAATACTCGGTATCATCATGTAATCCCGAAAATCAAAAATATGTATCACTTGGTGTAACCACATGTTTTTGGAAAATTTCGTTGTAAGTCTTGAGTACAACCATGAATCGTAACTACTTGAACAGGTAGATAGTTAAAGAAACAGAGGCCACAGCAAGAACAGATAGACAACCATGTCCTTAACTTCCTTAAATATCTTAGTTCGTCGCGTCTGTTCCAATTCCCTATCCATTTCCTTTTAAAACCAAGTCACAAACCATCTCATAAAGGAGAGCATGAGACCTCCTTGCCTCAACCATTTCCTCCTTCAGGTTGTTTACTGATTCCTGTAGCTGGGAAATCTCCGTCGAGTGAATCCGGTTCATAGTTCTAGTCCAACCACTCCGGCCCTGCATCTTGGCCAAATCATGCCGAACATCTACAATCTCTTCTCTCTTCTAGCATCGCCTCATCACACCACTTGAAGAGATGACATTCGGGATTGTACAAGACACAAACCGTATAAATATTTTTGGTACGAAATTAAAAGCAATCAACAGCTGAACTTACGTATTCCTTATTGCAAGCGAAGAATCGTCTTCCCGGATCCAAAACGGTGTGGGAAGTTTTGATGATTGGTTTACGATGACAATAACAGAATTGCAGGATTCGAGAATCTTCGTACAATTCGGGTTGAGGGCTCCTGCTTGAAATGTCTGAGTCGGACGACGAGCCGAGACTTGGCATTCTTGCAACAAAATGTTGTTTTGCAAACAAGTGAGTATTTTGTGTTTTGGTTGTGATTTGTGCCATAAACCCAGATATTTTAATGAATTTTGATGTTTGGGGGGGGGGGGGAACTCAAAATCGGAAATGTTTGAGGTTTTGGGGGGGGGGAAACAAATTTAAGTTTCGTGGATAAACCCGAGAAATAATAAATAATTGTAGTGGGGTCTATTTGTTACCCAATAAGACACGTGTTCAAATGAAAACACATGTCGTTTATTGCAACTGGGAATTTTAAACGTAGTTGTACCTTGTTTTCCATTTATACACATCGTCCACATAGTGTTACTTTTGGTGAATATACCGTATTCGCGGTAATACTGAAATGTCAAGAATATATTCCGGTAATACGTTTCATAATTGGTTATAAAAGCAAATTATCACCTTCTTCATAAAATAAAATTCGAGGAA